TCCTAGCTTAACCACTGTGATACAACAATGCCGATTGTACACGGCTTACCACAAAGAACGTAGCCCCAACCCAGTGCCCCCTACAGTTGACCTTTGCCCGCAGTCACGACCACCCACCCCAAATAATAATAATAATAATAATAATAATAATAATAATTAATAATTATTATTTTTATTAAAGACCCGTCGGGGTCTTATCAAAGCACACTTCCCCGTGCGGTTTACACATCATAACCCTGCCTGTCAATACTGCGCAGCATTTGGCCGCGAAGCCCGCCACGGCGGTTACAATTTCCCCCGTAAGTCGTCTCATGACTATTTCCTTTTCTGATCCATCCTGCACCCACATTTTTACGGTTAATGTTTTACTCCACGACCACCCGTTGACACCGGTGCCAATGTCTCCCATATCAATTTTCATAGTTTACCTGAAGATTCCTTTATGCTTATAGAATCGTTGCCTACAACCCGCAATTTACGTGCCGTTAACGGGACTAGTATTGCTATTTCCGGTAGTATCACCCTCCCGTTCGTCGTCAAAGATTGTACACTGACTTATCATTTCCCGGTGACCCCTGTTAGCAATTGGCCCATCGTTATAGTACTTGACTTCCTCACCGATCACGACTGCACTATTTATATCCGGCGTAAACGCCTAGTGATAGGTTCCCCCACCTCCCTACTGCATCACCAACCCCGTCAGACTATTCCGATCTCGCATATAATGCCGTCCTTTCAGCTGCAGCCCAAGAGCCTACCCATTTGAACGACGTCCTGCCTCCCTTTTCAACAGTCTGCCCCGTCGCCCATAAGCAACTAAGTGACTTACTCGCTTCGTTTTCCGACCTGTTCTCTTGGTCCACGGACACACTCTGCCGTACATGACATGTACAACATACCATTGACACGGGTGAGACCAAACCCCTCTAGCAACCCTCTCGGCGTATCCCTGTTCGTTACCGTGATGAAGTCGACAAAGTTTTAGACGAGCTGCTACACGCCAAGATTATCCAACCATCCTCCTCCCTATGGGCTTCGCCCATTGCGTTAGTTCCCAAGAAAGATGGTTCACTACGCCTGTGCGTTGACTACCGTCGCCTAAACGCAGTGACAATGAGAGATTCATTTCCGTTGTCGAGGTTAGACAATACGGTAGATGCGCTAGGTCAGGCTGCTTGGTTCTCAACCTTCTATCACAAGTCGGATTACTGGCAAGTGGAAATTCACCCGAAAGACAGTTACAAGACGGCCTTCACCGCCCCCAGGGTTCATTTGAGTTCCAAACGCTTCCTTTCGGGCTGTGCAATACAGCAGACACCTTCCAACGTTTAATGTACCGGGTACTCCGACACCTTATCCCATATGAATGCCTCGTTTATCTCGATGACATCATCGTATTTGGGCGTTCTACAGAAGAGCACAATTCAAACTTACGGGAGGTTTTGGAGGCGCTCCAGAAAGCTGGCCTTACACTCAACTCCACTAAATGCCTTTTCCTTCGTTCCGAGGTTCAATTTCTTGGCCACCTCATTTCCCCCTGTCGTATATCACCAGTGCCAGACCGAAACAAACACATACTTACGTGACCGACACCGACGAACCAAACGGAACTGCGGAGTTTCCTAGGCCTCGCGTCGTACTACCGACGCTTCATCCGGGATTTTGTCCAAATCGCCGGCCCCATTCACAAGCCAACTGAAAATGGCCGCTCTTCTACATGGTCCGCCGACTGCGACGCCGCCTTCAACAACCTCCGTGCGTCATTATGCTCGGCACCACTCCTAGCCCTTCCAAACGTTGACGACTCTCCCCCGTTCACCCTTGATATTGATGCAGGTGGGTTCGCCATCGGGCGTCCTGTCTCAAGTCGGTTAGGACGGCGTAGAACACCCTATCTGTTTCGCCAGCAACACGTTGACCAAAACTCAGCGGAACTACTGCACTTTCAGGCGCGAACTGTTGACGATCATTATGTTCATTCGCCAGTTTAAACACCTTGTCGGCCGACGGTTCATACTACGTACAGACCATCGCGCCCTAGAGTGGCTGCGCTCCATCAAGGACCCTATGAACCAGCTAGCCCGTTGGCAAGAGTTTTTGAAAGATTTCGATTTCCAGTGCCAGTTCCACCCGGGCCCAAACATGGTAACGCGGACGCACTGTCACGCCTTCCTAAAACAACCATCCCGGCAGACGAACCTCACGACGCGTCCGTTAAAGCTATTGTTGTTGCGAACCAGCCCGTTACGCCTGGTCTTCAGACCAGAGCTCTGACACCGATACAGCAGTTATTTACCACCATCTGACCCAAGGGTTATCCAAACCCAGCGAACAAGCGATGCGCGGAACGAGCCAAAACGCTCGTTTGCTGTTGAACGAATGGCCCTATCTAGTTGTCCTACACGATATCCTATTCTTTCCCGACCCCTCGTCCTACCTTTACGTCCAATGGTTGCAGGCTGTTTGGTTGATATCGTACTAGCCGACCTACATTCAGAGTTAGGTCACTGTGGCCAACGTCGGACAGAGCTAGCCGCCGCACGCGATCTTGGTGGCCGCAGTTGCGCACCTCCGTCGCCCACTTCTGTCAATCGTGCACTACGTGTGCATCCCTCAAAACGCCCAGCCCCGCTCCGGAGTCCCGATGCAACCAATGACCACCGGGTTTCCTAGTGAACGCGTCGGGCTTGACATCATCGGGCCGCTCCCCATCTCTGTCCGCGGCTTCGAATACATCCTTGTAATGGTGAACTGTTTCACTAAATGGGTCGAGGCCACTCCCCTTCTCCGACAGGATGCCACCTCCGTCGCGAACGCCATCACGCGCACTTGGATAAGCCGATGGAGTGCTCCGTCAGCGTTCCATTCAGACTGTAGCAGCAATTTCGACTCCCAGTTATTCACGGATGTCTGCGATATCCTCCGGATAGACAAAACATGGACCACACCTTACCATCCGGAAGGAAACGGCCTTGCGGAGCGCACGAAACGAACGTTGCACAGCCGCCTACTCGCTTTTTCTGGGACGCACACCTGTCCTTCTGTCTCAGCCTACCGTGATTCCGTCCATTCATCCACCGGTTTCACTTCCCACTACCTATGGACCGGACGAGACATACGCCTCCCGATCGGCCTCCTCTACCCCTTACCCAGACCCGACGCACTCACCCCACAGGATTACGCTACACACCTACGCGAGATCATCCGAAGCGCACATAACGCGGCCCTGACGACTGTGGACAGTTAATCACTCCATCAAAAGGAACAGCATGACAGACATTCATCCGGCGTTACACATGAGATCGGCGACCTTGTCATGGATTACAAACCTTAGCACCCCCGAGGAACGTCCGCTAAGTTCTATTACCCCTGGCAAGGACTCTTCGTCGTCTTAGACCTCCCCTCAACCACCACCCTTCTTATCCGTGACGCCATCTACCCCAACACTCGCCCCTTTACCGCACTTTTCGACAATCTTAAGCCCTACCGAGGCCGCCTACCAACCTGCTCCCCCGACTCTTAACCCATCCTCCCTGCTGGTCAGGTCCCTCCGGTCGCCATCGAGGTCACCGTCCACTCACCCCTCGTCGATCTCAGCACTGAGGACAGTGCTCCACCTTGGGAGGAGGGTTATGTAACGGTCGGAGATCTGACCAGGGACCCGACCTTGAGTGTTTTAATGTACTGGACACTAGTGGCACACTTCTCCCGTTTGCCTTGCAGGGTTAACGCTTCCGAAGCCACGTGCCGACGAATAACTGTCAACCCCTCCCGATTAATCGTTCCATCGTATTTTTCGTTATTCCGTAGTCTCATTTATTAGTTTTCACCTGTGTTGCCTATAATATGTCCCGTACGCCTGTTCATCCCGATCCCGTCCACTATGAAATGCAAGGCCTTTTAGACCGAATTTTTCAATCGACTGGACCATCTGAGTTCAAGCTACCATCATCTCCTTCCTTCATTACCCGTGATCCGACGTCCGCTACTAGCTCGGTCGCTACCACCGAACACTAAAGGAGATCATTTATTACCCCATTGCTGCTTTGGCATTAATAAGCGCTCGCGGCAACTTCTCTCACAAACTCCATCGTTGTTTATTGGTTGTTTTCCAAACGTCACTACCTTATCTTGTCATACATTACTATACCCGCCTAAAGCTGAAAAATAAAAAAACGAGGGTTTGCGGAATTTGAGGTCTTCAGTGTATACGTATATATTGTTGTTGAACGCGAAGTCCCCATGGTTATTAACGACGGTAACTACTCAGGTAACGCAAACATCATCGTGGAAGCAGCCACTGGAGGCGACAGTATGGGTAAACCCTTATCGCTCAGTGTTCTGGCGGAAAAAATGGACGTTTATGAGACCCATCAACCAGTAGTGCCAACAACAATGGCAGATGAAGTCGAAACACATAAATGCAAAGATTCCGCATTTTCATTTTACGGAAAACCCAGACTGCATAGACGAAGTGATTTTCCACACCACCTCTTGGCCGAAGTGACCATTACGTGCTTATGCAGGATTATTCTTCATTCCCCATTTTGCATACCTTAGACCAAAAAAGAAGTAACATTTGATCGGGTGACTTCAATTGGATTAAGACAGTCTTATCCTGTGCTGACTGGAGGTCAAGTTTTACAGGCATTGCAATGATGACTGTGATTTGTTCATTAATGCCCTTCTGCAGATTATCAACAACCACTGCCTACTGACAAGCTTAAGAGTGAAAAAAATTACATCGTAAATAGGGCGCCTAAAGGCCTTTGCCTATTTCCTTAAATAAACTGGACCGGATTGAATGACTATAGACGCAAATTTTGGTTTAACCCCCTCAGCTGTAATGCGATAAGTCCGCAAGTAGAATATTGATCCTAGTCCGTTCACATTTCAGCAAATAAGGCACATACAGAAGTTATGAATTATGCCTCATTACTATTTTTAACAATTTCCTACAAGGATTTTTGTTTGAGTTACCTGCTTCATTTGCAGGGAAAATGAAGGTGTGCGCATGATTTCTCTCTTATCTTTCTTTCCCTAGCAAAGAGTGAACTTCCTCTTCGAACATGCCTCTGGATATGCTCTTTTGTCCACGAAAATGCGCCAGCTGTCCGATGTGGTCGAGGCCATACCGGAAGTGTCTGCTGACTACGAGACCTTTTCACAGTGTTTCAAGCTTCGTGGCTTCGTGTCATTTACTTCAGCCGAAAACGCACTTGAAAATTGCAACTCAATTTCCGAAGGACTGGTGCATGATGACCTTCAGTCGTTTTTGTTATCACATCTAAATGATGGAAAAAATGTCCTTCTTTGTGTCGCCGATCGTAGGCTCGCCGATGCGATTAAGTCTCCGGAGGCTGGATTGCCAGAAAATATTCAGTGTACGTCTGAATCCATGGCGTCGGAAATATTCCGCAAAATCAGACAATTCTTCCCCTTTTACATTGCCGAGCTGTCGCACTTTGCAGAGTCACAAGCACAAATTGGGCTTGGTCACAGTTATTCTCGCGCAAAAGTCAAGTTTAACGTTAACAGGCAAGATGCCGATTAGGCCAATATATTTTTTGCAGGGCTGACAATATGGTCATCCAAACAATCAGCTTGCTCGACCAGATGGACAAAGACATTAACACATTTTCCATGCGCATAAAGGAATGGTTCTCCTATCATTTTCCTGAACTGATGAAAATTGTGCCCGAGAGCTCAAATTACATAAAGCTAGTCAATCTTTTGCGGTCTCGGGATCAGACTACTGAAGATCGCCTGCAAGAGATCGAGGATATAGTTCAGGATCACGAGAAAGCTCAGGCTATCGTGGAGGCTGCAAAAACCTCTATGGGTACGGTTAATTGTCACTCTTAATATTTCCCAGGTTTTGATGTGACGGACCAAGATGTTGAAAACTTGACACTTTTTACGAATCGCATAAAATTGTTTATGGAACGTCGAGCGAAAGCTTACGACTATCTAGTGTCTAAACTCTCCGGCGTCGCTCCTAACCTCAATTGCCTCATTGGAAGCCAGGTCGCCGCCCGACTCATATCACATGCCGGCTCGCTCACTAATCTGGCAAAATTCCCGGCCTCCACTATCCAAATTTTAGGTGCAGAAAAGGCTCTTTTTAGGGCCCTGCGTACGCGCGGACGAACACCAAAGTATGGGTTGATCTTCCACAGTTCTTTTATCGGCCGTGCAGCGAAGGAGAATAAAGGCCGGATTTCCCGTTTTCTGGCGGCCAAGTGTGCTCTTGCCACCAGGATAGACTGTTTTAGCGACATTCTGTGTAATGTTTATGGAAAACACTTGCGGCAGCAGGTGGAAGACCGGTTGAAATACTTCGAGAGCGGTGAAATGCCGAAAACAAACGCCGAAGCCATGGCCGCTGCTATTATTGAGGTTAGTAATATCACTGGCTGTTTTTGAAAATAACGGTCACGTATTTTTTGTCCTTTGTCGTGCTAGTACATACCATTCTTTTTCTACTGCGCCACATGGTGTCTAATGGACTCGGCTTAAGGGCAGCAGCTAATTTTTGGCAGCTAGCGCATTTTGGCGATTGCAGTTATATATAACCTTAAAAGGATTATTACTTTAGGACCTACTTCTTTTACCTCCTGTTCGTCATCACATGACACTTTTTAAAGAAAGATCACTTTCTCTTTGGTTTATCGTACACGGAATGCTTCACGTCTTAACAGATCGTCGCAGATAACCCGAACCAGTTAGTCGGTACTGTTTTAGACTTATCTTCAGGCAGAACCATCCTGCTCATCCGACTGACCGCGATTTAGCTCGTGCTTTCTTGCAATCTGGCCTCTCTGCTCATGCCGTGGTAACAGACCCGTCTAGAATTTTGCATATCGACAATGCAATAAAAATTCATGGTATCCTCTTAGGGGACGATAAGAGAGGTGCAAACGGTGTACTGAAGTGTAAGACCTCGTCACTCGTCGACAAAACTGTGCTTTACTCATGCAAGTGTTAACGCTATACAAAGTGGAAGTTTCCTGCACGTCAAGTATGCGCTGGCCGGACTATTGTTGACAGAGAAAAGTGATAAGGACGGGCAAATGCTTGCAGTCTCGCGTTAGCAATGTCACTGACAAATGTGGTTCGGCCAGTCAAACGTCCCACTTTGTCACTATTAATTGGTGTCACCGACTGTTTTTGCAGTTCTTTTTTTGACAGTAGTCTCAGAACGCGTTTTAACGATGGACACCGAGTTCGTGCAGAAAAACGCCTTCTATGGCGACTGCAGACAAGTCAGACGTATCTCAGTGGATGACACTGCTGTGGGCGACGGGACTGCTGAGCAAGTGCTTGATAGGAACGCAGTGTTAAGCCTTCGGGCGCACGAAGAAACGCTGGTAAAGTTAAAAGTATACGTTCCGGACATTTAGTAATCTAGTTCACAGAGCCACTCAAGAAACCAACCACATGTCCGATACGTCACGCCTAGTTCAGTGGTAGATCCCTGCACGGTGCACGTTACCGATACCAGCATTCATAGTGCTACAATGAGAGTTTTGTCCGGGTGGCTATACTTACTTGCGGTTGGTACGTCTGCGATCATGACCGGTTTAGATGACCTCGATGTTACGAATTGCACATCACCATGTGTGATGATCTGTGATGGTCGGCTTAGAGATCTCGGATACTTGATATCCAGGGAATAACCCCCATGCCCTAACGGAATGTGCTGTACTAAGTCGACCTCCCGTTCAATGTCTCTGGATGGACAACAATGGTAAGAGATTGCTGAGTTTCGCTGATCAGAATCGGCTGCCTGTCACCAACACGGCTTCCAACATCGCAACAAACATCTGACCTGATATTCAAACGACAGTCATACGGCTAGTCAGATTGACTACATACTAGTTAGCCCGATAGCAGATCGATGCGTGGTACCGAGACTGGTAACTCCCATGGGTCGGACCGTGGCCTCGTTCGTACACGCTTGAAAGTTAACCTCTCACCCACCAAAAATGCCACGTCCTAGACGTCTCAATGTCGCTAAAATCAGACAAACCAGCACTGCTGAAGTGCTGAGCAAAGAAATTCGGTTCTGTTTTACGAGCCGAGCCGACGGAGAAGGCAGTGGTCGTCACAGAAAACGCCAGTCTATGAGACAGCTGAGAAAATCCTTGGATATATCCAGCGACGTCGCTGTGACTGAATTAACGGAAGAACCCAGCAGTTGTCTGCTCAGACGACTCCAGCCAGGTCCCGTAATTATGCTTCCTTCCACCAACTTCGAATTATGACGGCAAAGTCGGCCAGGGATGACCGGAAGCAATATTAGACTGAAATAGCGACCTCCATGGAACAGACCTCGAACGTAGGTGACACCCGAAAACTCTACCAACTTATCCGTCAAGTTAGTAGTAAGCTCTCTACAGTGAGTGACTGTTAACGACGTGAGTAGCGGCTTTATTGCTGACAACTCGGCCAATGTCGAGCGCTGGCGTGGGTGCCTCGAACACCATCCCAACTTCGATACCCAACTCACCACGCCCTTGCTGTCCTCTGCAGCCGAGTTTCTTCCCTCTCCATGCGACCCCCCTTCTAAAGGAGAGGTCGCCGATGCAATACGAAAGCTACACAACAACAAGGCACCCGGAGTGGACGGTCTACCCGCTGAAGTCTACAAGTCATGTGTCCACACTCTGGCGCCCTGGCTCTGTAAGGTGATTGAACAAGCGTGGGGAGGCGAGGTTGCCCTGATGATTGGAGCCCAGGTATCCTTGTACCTATCCTCAAGAAGGGAGATAAGATGTGATAACTACCGCGTCACAGGCGTCACTGACATTGCTGCGAAGATCTTCGCTATTGTCCTACTCAGGCGATTCCAGGCTGTGCGTGACTCTGGGACGAGGTCCAACCAAGCCGGATTTCGTGCTGGACGTGGATGTACGGACCAGGTGTTCACACTGAAGCGCATTCTCGAATTCCGCCATAGCTACCAGCAACTGACGATCGTCTGCTTTGTTTACTTTGTCGCCGCGTTCGATTCCGTCCATCGTGAGTCCGTATGACGGATAATGGCACTAGACGGCGTACCGGCAAAAATCATCGCTATGATCAAGGCCTATTATTGCTCCACCACTGCGCGAGTCCTGGTCCACAACAATCTTTCCCAACCGCTTGATATTCTGTCCGGCGTTAGACAGGGCTGTATCTTGTCGCCAATTCTGTCCAACCACGCCATTGAATGGATTCTCGGGAGGGCCCTACACGAAGGTGACGGTGTTGAGTTTGCACCCGGACACCGACTGACTGATCTCGACTATGCCGATGATATTGCCTTGCTTCAAGTTTTGGTGATCTTCAGTCTGTGGTGTCACGGTAAACGGGGTCGCTAAATCCGTCGGTTTATCCATAAACACCGGGAAGACTGAAGTGTTTTCAAGCTGCATCTCTGGCCAGGAGAAGGCACCTCCCGGGATTGATGGCTATAAACTTGAAGGAGAAGTACCTCGGGGCGAGGTTGCTGCCGAATGGGCAGAGTAAGGATGACGTTATCTCTCAAATTGATACTGCCTGCCGGGTTTTCTCAAACCTTAGAAAATGCCTATGGATCCGACGCGACCTCTCCATCGCCACTAAGATTCGCGTGTACTGCGCGTCTGTCCGGTCTGTCCTTCTCTACGGTTGTGAATGCGGGGCTTTGCGCGTGGATGGGCGAGAACTGGAGGTATGTGACCACTACTGTTTGAGGACCATCCCTCGAGTGAAGTACGCCGACTTCGTCTCAAATAAGACAGTTCGCGCTCGCTGCGACACCATCGTAAGGATCACTTAGGCCATCCAAGAAAGACGACTGAGGTGGTTTGGGCATGTTCTTCGTCGTCCACATTAGGGGCTCACTGTTACTGCTCTCGATCCGGCACCTTTACCGCATTGGAGGCGTCGAAGAGGGGATCAACTCAAAACTTGACTCGACACAGTTAATCCAGACAGCGAGGTGGTTCTTGAGCCCTCGGTTTCGGTCTCCGTCGTTGGCGAAAAGAATGGGTTGAACTGTCCTGATCTGCTGCCGCATATCGTCACGCGTGGAGAGGTACAGTTCGAAATATAATCGAGTCCGACTAGATCAGGCATGATTGCAGCCGTACCAAGTACAAGTTAGACGAGCAATGATGCCGAATCAGACACAGTAATACAACCCATTGACTGATGCGGAAGAATGGACCCAAAACACCCCAGTCATTCATCCTGGATGGCCCCTAATATAGTTACGAAGTTGCCGATACAAACGAAGATGCGAGTTCCAGGAACTAGTTGATCAGAAAAAGAAGCGATCCCTGGAACAAGGGCTTTATTCGCCTGACGTTTCGGATTCTCACTTGAATCCATCATCAGAGACAGTGGCAGAAAAGGATGACTCTTGCACAGAAAGTTGCAGTATTTATAGGATGCAGTCGCTATGCCATGCATACCTACAGCAATTAATCGCTCTCCCCTTCATCAAGGATTGTTGCCCGCTGGTGCGCTAATTGCTTGATGGCCGGCATGCAAGTTGTTAATTGCTGAAGTCTCATCACCCGTGTTGGATACTGGTGTGCTGATTGCTCGGCCATCTGGATAACCGGCTTGTGCGCTCCCCGAGTGGTCAATTGCCTTGGCCAGCCTATGCCTCATCACGGAATATGGAGTGGGGATATCGTTGCACTTGTTGATAGACTGAGGTCCCGTGAACCATGACTCATGCAACTCGCGGCTCACGCGATTATCCCCTCACGAGAATTTCGGCCTCATCGAACTTGAATGCGTGGTCGGGTCTCGTCCTCTCTCGACCTGAGAGTTGGCGTCATTTCTCCGTACAGCTGCCACGTGTTCGGCGATTCGCGTCCAGATCAGTCTTCCAGTTTCTCCGACATAGTTGCTTTGTCCGCAACTGCAGCAGATCCGGTAAACGACTCCAGATGTTTTTTTTGCCGTGGCAGTGGGTATTTTGGTCTCATCACCTGACGCCTCATGATGGCCTCCGGTCTGTGTGCAACTCCAACCTCAAGTGGGGCAAGAAGGCGACTAACGGCCTCGGAGACGTTCTTGATGTACGGGATCATTCGCCAGAATTTGGGGTCGACGCGATTTTTTCGTTCCTCTCGTCTCGTTTGTCAAACATGTAGATTTTTTAGGTCATTGTGACACCTAACAAGAGCTGTCTGGCCAAACAAGCATTAAGTCCATCGGCTGATTCAGTTATTGCCGCATCGCCGAGTGAATATGACAACTCCCGGTTGTCCTGCAAACTGAGCATCTCAGGCTGATCACTTTCTACTTCGACTAAAATTGCAAGGTGAGATCAGATTTCTGAGATTTCAGAGCATCCCCTGTACTGCGTCCTCGTAGATTGCGACATCGAGACGTCTTAGACATGACAATTTAAGAGCTGATGAGAGGTGGACTCTCAGACGTGTGTGAGTAAAAGAGTGGTCTGACACAGGCCCTGCTAGTTTTGAAATTACTCATCTGTCCCCTAACACGAATACAGCTACGGAGCCTCGAAGTGACTAGAATATTGTTAATCTGGCTGGTTGTGCGACCATCGTTTGAATACCGGGTTGGCAGATGTTTGCGGCGATGCTTGGAGCACGTATGGACAACAGTATGACAGTCCAGTATTCTGAATTCAACGTCAATCAGTGTCGTATCGGGAACAAAGCGCAAGTGGTCGGTAAGCTGCGGCCCAATCCGATCACTACAGTCACCGGCTATAATCGGGAGATCATGGAGAGGTGGTCTTTCATCCGATTCTTGCAGCTTCAAATTGAATGCTTTTTCATCGTGCTACTCGTCAGCGACGTCGTTAAAACGCCCGTTATATCATACATGAACCAGCTGGTCATTGACTAGTTCCCACACCGACCACGCACCGTCCGCTTATTGCGGGATGGCGATGGGCACACTGTCTACGAGAAGACTCCTGTCGATCACTGTGGTATAGGATGAAGCGGGAGTTGGCTCTGGGGTTCCTGCTTTTCCACGAGTCCAAATCTGGGATTCCGACGTCATACATTCGTTGGGCTGGCAAACACCGCGCGCCCTCAGAGGTTGTGTATTAGGGTCCAAAATGTTTACACATTCCAGCATAAAATGCTAAGAGTTCGTTTCCGATCGAGTAGCCCAACTCGCATACTATTCTCCTGCACTGCTGGGCCAGAGTTGCGGAACGCATTGGCTTCTGCGGACTCGGCGTGTCAGACCTCATTCCGCAATTTCCCGGTGGCCCCCTTGCTTCTGTTCCACGACTGCTTATTTGTCAGACTTGAAGGCCTGCTTTTTCACAACTAATTTCTGATGAGGGTCGTTCTGCCATCCGTCACTCGTGAACGCTGTGGTTTCGTCTGTCAGAAAAGCACCACCCGCAGGGAAGTAGGGTACTGATCGTTTCAGGGAAACTGGCATGGACTTTCTCCCATCTGCCTGCAACTGTCTACACCGTCACGGACAACACTTCCGTGAGATTAGTCCCCCTGACATTGCTAGAATTCTTCGATTTTGGCGCCTTGCGTGGAGAAGAAATAGGCAGTTCATCCAGTGGCCGTCAGGGGGACTCTGTTGACCGACTTTTCTGGCTTTGCCAGATTGCCGTATATCGCCACTCTTATTAGCAGACGACTATTCTCCGAGGATTCCAACCCCACCCGTCCGGATTCCCTGCAGTCCAGTCTTCGTTTCGGTGGCATGCTACCTTAACAAATTCGACTTGTTCACGTGTACTACCACAGGGCGAAATTCCGGGCGTTGGGGGCGTTAATACTGGCTAGTTTGGTATGGATAATAGGCAAAGCAAGATACAACTGTGCACGAGCAATGCAAATATTCGCTATTAAAACAGTACTTGATTCATTTGAGTAGCATTGTTTCAATGAAAAATGCTACCCGGGAACGCGGGTTACCTAGCTCAGGTTCAGGCTGTCGAGGGAAGACAGGGGACACAAATAATCGTCCAAACGTTTCTTGAAAAGTTGCAGAGACGTAGCCTCCATGACTGTTTGAGGGAGATCGTTCCATTTCTCCACTACCCTTTGTGTGAACAATCCAGAACGGAGATTCAGCCTGGACACTTTTGTCCGCAGCTTCACATCGAGTGACCACGAAGATTGGGTGAAAGGTGTCGCCGAAACATGTGACCAAAGCTAAGCCCGTGCTCAAGGCCGTGTATTATCTTGTGTAAGCCAAGATAAGACCATCTTTCTGCTGCCTGTAGCACAGAGGGAATAAATTGAGGTAATTCAGTTTTTCTATGTAGGATTGGCTTTTCAAACCGTTCCTTGATATCACCTGCGTTCTTTAGCACGTGACGGCAGACCACCCCAGTTTTATAGTATGGCGTGATACGTGTGAATTTCGGTATTAACTGCCCTGATGACCTTCAAGTGGCTTGGTGAAATGCAGCGTCTTGAGTTGAGGTTTGAGAGCGAGGTTTCGCATTTGGAGATATTTGCGTGGTCGCAGTAAACAGTGAAACTCCAGCTTGCTGACTGCTTCTGCCACCTTATGGCGACCATCCTGCTAAACGGACACGACAAAAGTTCAACCGGTTTAACCAGACGTTCACGGTCTTCGTCCGATTGTGATGGAATTTCTGGAATTGGCTGGAGATCTGCCAAAAGACCAAATTGGGCTTCCGTCATGGTGTTCCTCCCGCACGGTTGTGGGAGTTTGCCACTGTGCCATTAAAATATCTCCGCAAGGGAGTATTCGACAAGTTTTGCCTACTCTCTACTTCCTACGGAGCCAGACTGCTATCTCGGCTATCTGTTTGCTAACCATCTCTGTCGCTGTCTGTTTTATTAGTAACTACGTTCACAGTTCATGAACGCACACCTCTCTTCACGTCCATATAATCTCCACCTGGCCCTTTTCACTGCCATTCTAGTAATGGGTAATTGTTTTGGATCCCATAAACTACGTACAAACTTGTTGTCCTTCAACTTTTAGGCCAATAAAGTGATTCGCAAGCTGAAAAAGCGAGCTATCGCCACTCTCAATGGTTCCTCCTCTCCCAACCTCAGTTTCTACAAGAAGGACGATGACGCTGATGTGCCATCGTCTGAACTGAAGAAGAAAAAGAAGAAGAAGAAACACCTCACGGAACAGGCGTCAGTAGAGGCACCCGCACCCGAACCCGAGGATGAGTCCGGAAATGCAGTGGATAGCAAGGAGGAGAAGAAGAAGAAAAAGAAGCAGAAGCGAAAGCACAGTCTGTCCGAGTCCGCGGCTGCCGAAGATGCCCCTACATCGGCCAAAAAATTGAAGTTTGAGAGCTCGGCCGCCGATGAAGACGATAGTGCGCTGACGACACCGAAGAAAAAGAAGAAGATGAAGTCGGCGGCGGCGGCGATTGCGTCGGCGCCTGTTGAACTTGACGAGGACTAGGTCCTCGGCGTGGGAAAACCAACACAGCTAACTTCGGGTCCTCTCCCCACCTCCCCCTGGTGTACACATGCGCTCCGATTTCTATCTGTATCAGTCTGCATTTTGTAAACAATGCTACGCAACTTCGTCCGGCTTTATACCCTTTTTGTACCCTCTGTCACGTTTAGGGCTATTCACCTGAAACCTCTCCACGCCAAATCGGCCTATTGACAACCGGTCCCGGCCTTGCCAGTAGGAGTAATGTTGTTATGTGTGGCCACGTCGAGTAACCTGACAAAGATTTGCCACTGATATATCTTCAAGCCTCATTGTTTGGTCTGTCAGTGAGTAGGTGCAGGGGGCGTGAGATAAAACTCGTACAGTTTAAAAAAACGATGACTCTGTTAGTATTTGGCCTGGTCCTAGGTCTTCGTAGCTCTGTCGTGTCACCGGGCCTATGTGGGTGCTGAAAGTGCGGTAAATGCTGCGCAAGTCTGCTGTCAGGGGCGGACCGCCGTACCTGCGCCCAGCCTGCTGTGGGGCACGCGGTGGGCAGGATCGGGATCGACGGCCACACTGTCATGTGACTTGGTCACGACGATATCATCCACACCTCATTTCTCGTTCGAGGTCGCACGCACAGTGGATGGCCTAACTCATGAAATGTCAACCGTAATTCCGAAATACGTCTTCGTTTCGAGAAGATTATTTAAGTAGGGTTGTAAAACTAGTCAACCTGCAACATAATTATATAATATTTCAATTACCTCAGGATGCCGGCTTTTGAATGAACTTCCTTCGGGCTGCATGCAAAAACTACACTGTGTATATAATGACTACTTAGGTAGCATGAATTTTTCTCATTGATTTTCGATGCCCCCAAAAGTCCAGTCATATTTTTAATGGAAAACATGCATAAACATATTCGTTGTTTTACTCATTCGGTAGATAATTACGTCTTCTAATTCTATACTCGAAGGAGGGACATAATTCGGTTTTCAAAAACGTTTCCAATCCCCGAATAATTTTGAATCCGCTCTACCACCACAGTTGGATTCGGGGTTTTCAAACTACAAGTCGTATATTTTCCGCCTACGGAAAACCACACATTTCTCTACGGTAATAAAGGGGGACCATATAGGGTTCATAAAATTTAGCAGTGGATTCGATCCTTATTGTTAACTTTACAAGCCACATTGGTAAATGCGGAGACATGACAATTTATCCACGGCCATTTAAAACCGAATTGTGTCCCTCCTTCGAGTATAAAATTAGAAGAAGACGTAATTTTCTACTGGACGAGCGAAAGAATGAATATTTTTATGCATGTTTTTCATTAAATATAATTGGAATTTTGGGGGCATCGAAAATCAATGAGAATAATTCATGCTACCTAGTATCAGTATCAGTATATTTCAGGGAAAGTAGGTGTGTACCTTTGAAATCCCTATTGGTTACATGCAGAGGATATATATGGAGGAAATGGAAAGGAAGTAACATGAAAGAAATGCGAGGGGAATAGCAAAAACTGTTCAGATGAACACAGAATGTCATGCGTTAACAGAGTTTAGAGGCACATTAACTTGCTTTGTTGATGAAAATACAGCGGACAGTTGAGGCACGCTTAAGATACGGGAAAAGAAGTAAAATTGTTCAGTCTACAGGCATCGTGATGAATGCGAACAGCGGTGTGCGACGTGGCCCAAGCTCAATAAATTACATAACATATATTACTTAAACGTTGGTAGTAGCATCGATATAACAATAAATTGTCAGCGTTGGCTGTCAAGGTGGCCGTAGTCCGGCGTTATTGTGGTGCGCGCTACAATGCTGATCTAGTCTCCATTTAAAAGTATCTACCGAGCCCGACATAACAACATCCTCGGGCAAGGCATTCCAAGCTGCAACCACTCTGTTGGAGAAGAAGAACTTTCGGGTGTCTTGCCGGGCACCAGCCACACGCAGTTTGAGTGGATGGCCTCTCAGGTTAGTCGTAGTCGTCAACTCGAAGAAGTCTCCAAACGCGAAGCAGCAGCCCTGATTGCGCACGATGCGGAAAGCTCGTATCGGGTCCCCACGTAGCTGTCTGTAACTCAAAGGAAAGAGGTCAAGATTAGCTAATCGTGTTTCGTAGGGTAGTGACCACTGCCCAGATACAAGTTTCGTTGCTCGCCGTTGAACTTTTTCGAGTATGCTCAAGTCTTTAGCGGTCCAGGGTCGCCATGCTTGGATAGCAAACTCCAGATGCGGTCGCACAAAAGTTTGAAAGACCTTGGCGAAACAGTCTTCCTCAAAGGAGGAGAACGCCCGTTTGACAAGGTATAGCATGGACATCGCCGACTTGGCCACCTTTGAACATTGCAGCGAAGGCTTAAGCGAGGTTGTGATCCATACACCCAAGTCCTTCTGGGCGTCGACTTCTTGCAGTGGTTTGCCAGTCAGACGGTAGACTGTGTGGTTAGGAGAACTGGTTCTGCCGACGCGTAGGAAAGTACACTTGTTTACGTTGAACGGTAGAAGCCAGTCTTTCGACCATTGCTCGAGGTGGTCCAGACTTGTCTGCAGTCGCGCCTCGTCAACTTCGCTTCGTATGGTACTCCAGATCTTTATGTCATCGGCAAACATTGCGACATCGCAATTCAGTTCGTTTGCGCAGTCATTGACGTATACGAGGAACAGTGTAGGGCCAAGAACAGAGCCTTGGGGAACACCACTCTTAACGGCAACCTCGGCAGATTTTTGGTCACTGACGTGGACGGCTTGAGAGCGGCCGATTAAAAAACTACGAATCCACATCAGAATCTTACCTCGCACTCCTGAACGGCTAAGATTGTATAGAAGGCGGTGATGAGGCACACTATCGAAGGCCTTTTTAAAGTCGATATAGATGACATGCACAATATCTCCTCTATCAACAGCCCTAGTCCAGTGTTCCAGACAGTAGAGCAGGTTTGTCACACAGGATCTGCCTTTTCGGAATCCATGCTGAGAATCGGAAAGCAAATGGTTTTGTTCGAGGAACTGCATTAGTTGTTGCTTTATTATCTTCTCCATAATCTTACAGCAAATGGAGGTGAGGCTGACCGGTCTGTAATTGATGGCAGAGACCCGACTTCCGCCCTTGTACACCGGCGTAATCCACGCCGACTTCCAGTCGGGTGGCAGATATCCGGTCTCGAAGGATGTATGGAAAAGCATGGAGAGTGGCTTAGACAACTCACCGGCGAGTTCCTTCAAAATCTTCGCCGGAATCTCATCAGGACCTGGTGATTTGGATTCTTTTAGCCTCAGCAACTCCGTCAGAACCATACACTCAGTGAACTGGACGGTCTCTATAATTGGGGTGTCTTCGAAGGATTGAGGGGCCGAAGGGTTGAATCCTGTTTCGCTACTAAAAACAGACCGAAAAAATTCTGAAAGGTGATCAGCTTTCGCCCTGTCGTCAATGAGATGTTCGCCTTCAGCAGTCCTTAGCAGGGGTATTGGGTCCTTGTTCCGCGTGCACTGCCTAATGTAACCGTAGAATAATTTAGGGTTCTCCGCGGCACGGTTAAGCAGATCCCGTTCGAATTCCTTTCTAGTTTTGAGGATAAGACCCTTGACTCGATTTCTTTGAATTTTATACGCGCATATAGATGTAGGGCTCCTGTCAGAAAGCGATTTTTTCCACAGCCGTCGTTTTTTATTCACTTCATTCTTCAAGGCTCGCGTAAGCCATCGAGGTCTGTTCGTTAACCTCTTCCGTGAAAGCGGACAGTGGTTTACGATCAGCTCGTGCAGAATTTCTCAGAACCGTTGCCAGTCTTCGAGTATACTACCAACAAATATGTACTCCCACTCAATGCGTGACATTTCAGCCCTCATTTGGTCGAAATCCCCGCGCCAAAGGTTTCTTCTAGCTGTCCCGGGTTTCTTGGGCATGGAAAAAAGCGAGTAATCCCATAGAAGAACGACGTGGTCACTTTTACCTAAGGGGGGTAGGTATGACACCTCATCAATGCTGTCCTGTGACTTCGTAAGGACAAGATTAAGGCAGTTGGCTTGTTGGCCTTCGCGTACTCTAGTTGGTAACATGACGTGTTGAGTGAGAAATAGCTTCAGTGCCGTGTTCAGAAAACTCCTATCGAAGGTCTGTTCTGAGCTATTTGCATGGGTTGAGCTCCAGTCAATATGGGGCGCGTTAAAGTCGCCTATGATCAGGAACTTTTCGAGCTCCTCCAGCAGCGAGCGTCGGCCATGTTGTCCCGTCTCGGCGGTCGATAAACTGTCAGGACATCGAGGCTAGGCGAGCTCGGCACTTTAATAGACAACCAGATTGCCTCGGAAGTGCACGAAAAGTTATCGATCTTGTCTGATACATTTAGCCCATTTTTTACATACGTGAGTACGCCTCCTCCCTGACGCCCTTCCCTATCCCTTCTAAACATCTGGTAGCCAGGCAAGGCCAGCTCACGGTCGTCCACGTGTTGGGTCAACCAGGTTTCTGTTAGAGAGATTACGTCAGGGGATAGGTCGCAGAGGTGGATCTTCAGCTCGTCGAACTTTGATAGCAAACTTTGCACGTTGGTGTACAAGAATTTCAATTTCCGGCTGACGGAGGATGTGGTTACATTTGGGTTAGCGCCTTCACTTAATATGTCGGCTGCGCGGTCATTCGGACAGGACCTGTCCAAAGGAAGAGTGACGGACGCCGCCGTACTTGGTTGTTGTATATTACTAAATTGTTCTTCCCCTCGCTGAGCCTCTTTCTTAGTTCTAGAACTAGCTGACGACGTTTGAGCCGTGGATGCGGACAATGCTGGACATTTCATGAGGAGCAGTGGTAAACGACAAGCACGGAACCTTTTGAAAGCCTAATTATATTCCCTCTTCGAGTATAAAATAAAGGTTGACGTGTTTCTCTATCAAACGACTAAAAGAAAGCATATTTTGGTCTTGGTTTCTATAAAATCTATTTGAATTGCAAAAGACCATCGAAAAACAATGGAAAAATGAATTCTACTTAAGTAGTCATTTTTAAC